CGAGGTTTTTTCGTCATCCTCCGACTCTAACAGCGTCCGTGCGACGCCGTGAGTACGGCTGCGAGGTACGTGATAGGGCGTGTGAGTGTTTGGGGACTTGGGTTGCAGGAGGCTAGGCTCTGCTCGCAGAATATTCCCTCCGGGCAGTGCAGGGTTTCCGCCGTGAATAAACATTAGCACAGAGCATCTGTGCGGTGTCCGTGATTTGTGTTGCGGCTCCGTGGGCGGTTGCGCAGTAAGAGTGAGGGCAGAGCCGCAGCACGAGCGCTCGTTGAGATATTCGCCCGCGGTTCGCGCAGCCGCTTTAGTGTTAACTGTGGGGGCGTGCGCGTGTTTATATATATCGCCTGCAGGGGCGCGCGCGTTCGCGCCGCCGCGTTAGCATTAGTGGTGGTGTACGCGGGCGTGTGTGGAATAACCCCGTGCGGCGGTGAGCCAGCAATGTAGCTATGTCCCTCAGAGGGGGCGCAAGCGCAGGGGCGCCGGTCACACGGCCGCGGGGGCCCGGCGGGGGCCCGGCGGGAGCCGATCGACGCGGTGGAGGAGGGAGTGAAGGGTGCGGACGTCCACCCCACCTGCCCGGCGAGGGCAGTGGGGTGGACGTCGGCCCTCAATCCAGCAGTGGATTGGCAAAAGGGCTGCACATATACTGTACATAAACTGCATTCGTGATTCAAACTAAACGCTTTATTTTACCAGGTAAGGCCCGCTGAGTTATGGACCTCTTTTTTCAGAAGCGACATGGCCACAAATAATAGCTCAACGAAGTGGCTTATGTGGAAATGTATAGCGGCTAAATACTCTAAACGCGTGACGTTGTTTATAAATGTGGAGGGGAAAACCCGGAGAAAATCCACGCACCACGGAGAGAGAGAGAGACACCGCCAACTCCAAATATACAGCGGGCGTCAGGGTCGGGATGGAACCACAACCTCCTGTAGACCAGGCGAGGTAGTTAACATCTTGCGACTTTGATGATGATGTGAGATATTCTTTAGGTCTTTCGGTAAAGTCACGTCGATAGGTTGAAAGAAAATAATAAAAATAACAACAAAACTACGAGTAGTTACCAGGTAAGACCGCTGAGTAGTTATTTTTGTTATTTTTGTTATTTTCTTTCAACCTATCTACGTGACTTTACCGAAAGACCCAACGAATATGAATTCCTACAGCCACGAAAGCTTTAAGTCAAGATGATGTGAGAGAGAGACACCGCAAACTCCAAATATACAGCAGGCGTCAGGATGAACCCACGACCTCCTGCACACCAGAAGGAGATACTCCGCATATCATGTATACACTAAACGTGTACTGTAGAGACGTGTTATTAAGCTATCTTTCAGGGGGTTTTTCAAGTTCAAGACTTGATTGCGGCAGAACGCTTCTCGTGCAATTCGTGACAACTGAATTTACACAGCCAGGCTTTCATCCAGGAGTGGAATGACGATGGCTGACGATGATGGATGATGAAGCCAACAACGTCACGATCTTCTTTGTCCGCCACAGCGGTAGTCTCGCGCCGCCTACTGGCCACTCAGTGCAGCTAAACCCAACCCACGCAGAACATCCTCCTCACGAACCTTCTCATGTACAAGCCCTCTTGTCAATCCACTGCTGGATCAGTGCCTGTCCGCGTGGTGTGGGGGCTATTTAACCATACTTCACCAGTTCACACGACCGCTTAATTCACCAGTGATCAGCGCGGATTGGTGAATGCTTGAAGCAGAGAAGTACGGAACAGCGTTGTCTGTGTGGACGTTGAACTTCTTTCGCACCGTACATAGCCAACCGTGCCAATCGGAGGTCGGGGATGGACTTTGCTGCACTGCGTTACGGATCTCCCAGAGCCTATATCTGTTGTGCAAGTGTCACCCCTCTAAGCACTTTCCTAATCTAGGCTCACCCCTGCTTAGCTTGGGAGATCTCAGGGATCGGTCATGGACAGGTTTCTGCCGCTCCTCCCTTTACCAATCCGCACTGACCAGCGTGACGAAGTGTGGTCAAAAAACCACCATGACTGACACGGTATGGGGAAGCCTTCATCAGTGGATTGACAATGGGCTGTAAATGAATCGATAAGGACACGACGCCGATAGTACAATTGGACACGTCATGAATGCAAAAAAACAATGTGAATACAATGTATATGTACATGATTTATTGTTTGAACTTTAATTCAATCAAGGATTGCAAATTACCACTTACGAAATACTATATTGACAACACACCTCAAAAAATTAACCATCTTCATACAAGCCCTGCTATGGCTAAACATATAGACACAAAACAAACAACTTTTTCGATTTAAAGCTTTCGTGACTGCAGGGATTCATCTTCTTGGTTCTTTCGGTAAAGTCACGTAGAAGGGAAATATAAAATAATAAAAAATAAAACATAAATAATTCTCACGACGTTTCGGCCACAACGCAAGCAGCCGTCCTCAGGTGAAGAACAGGTCTGTCGGAAAGACAGCGTCTGAATGAGGACGGCTGCTTGCGTTGTGGCCGAAACGTCGTGAGAATTGTATTTATAATGTTTTATTTGTATTATTTTATTATTTCCCTTCTACGTGACTTTACCGAAAGAACCAAGAAGCTGAATCCCTGCAGTCACGAAAGCTTTAAATCGAAATTTAACGGTTTTCCTATGGATAGGCTCACCCCTACCATAGTAATGTGGAATTTCCACCATTGGTTCTGGACAGTAAACATCTGCGCAGGAAATCACTTTTACCCGACTTGTGTGTGGGATTGGCAGACGAGTCGATAGGTCTACGAGCAGTCAGCAGCACCAACTTCAGAGAGAGGGAGGAAGCCCCTCAATGTGTGTCCCAGCTGAAACTTCCTGAAATGTTGTAGCTTTAAGTTACTAGCAAGTGCAGATACGCACCACATGTTACAATGAGACGCAACAGAAACAATGATGTCGACAGAAAAAAGCCGACACTTATGTACATCTGCACCAGAACTTGGCTCACAAATGCATTATGAAGAGCAAAGCTGCAGATTCACGTTCAACTCACTCGCGTCACATTCAACAACAATGCACGCATATTGTTTAGGCAGTACATTTCCCCACAATAATCTGGCTCCAGACTCTTACTCTCGCAAATATTAGATCGATTATGCGATTTAAAATGGCAAAATGAAAGCACCATCGATTCTTCACATACATGTGAGTCATTGCTATGACAGTATAACTTATAATATTGCATAATAATGACAAGTGTGATTCTTGGAGGCAGTTGGAGTGAAAAGAAGCCCTCTCACCACACACAAAAGGCACAAGTTTCACTAAGAATATTGCCATTCTGAACCTAATTACAGTCCTGTTATGCTCCAGGATGAAACCAGTAAACAGCTGTGTTTAATTAATATATAAAAACACAATAGTCGAGTTTATTTTGTTTAACCAGGTGAGAATGAGAAACCAGGGTAAGACTGATTTGCATTAGTGACCTGGCAATCATGGTGCTGGATAAACGGTATTAATGGTGCTAAATAATAATAGCTATTTCATATTCCAAGGCCTATTATTCAAACCATATATACTTGGCTTTGCAACACCATGATCCTTTGTGAATCTTGTGCCTTTTATGTGTGGCTATTCAAACAATTTCCGGGGAGGCATTCTATGAATCTATTTTTATTTTACCAGGTAAGGCCCACTGAGCTTTACAGCTCTTTTCAGAAGTGACCTGGCAAAAAAAAAGGTCAACGAAGTGACTTATTATCATGTGGAAATTTAAACGCATGTTTCTAAATTGAATGGAAAACCCGGAGGGCCCGGTTGGAGAAAAATCCACGCGACCACGAGAAGAGCATGCAAACTGCAAATATACAAGTGTCAGGGTCGGGATCGAGCCCACGACCTCCTGTATACCAGGCGAGGTAGTTAACATCATCATCCAGCAGTGGATTGTCAAATGGCTTACATGATTATCACCAGCCATTTTCATTCCACTGCTGGATAAAGTCCTCCCCAAACTGCTGGCCACCTCTCACAATCCTGTGATGTAACAGTCCACCTAGCACCTACGCATGAATTGATAATTATGATATCGATTGATGCAACAATGTCTTCGAGGCTTGGAGACATCACACACCAGGGGAAGAGGGGAGTCGTGAACAAGAGAATGGAAGCAGCAAGGCGGAGAGGTGGGGAAATTTGCGAGAACATTTTTCCAGGCTGGTCATTGTATCCTATGGGGAGATGGTGACATGGCCCAGTGGAAGCATATTTGCCACTTGTGTCAGAGGTCCGTGGTTCGAGCCCAGTGGGCGCCCTGGTCAATACTGAGGGTGCATCATCCATAAATACTACTTGCTGTGTGCTTCACTGTGGACGTTATAGATCCGTCACATTGAAAAAGAGTTGTTCACATTTATGTATGCATGTTGAACTTCTTTTGCACGATAAATAGCCAACCGTGTTAATCAAAGGTGCATGTGCCGGCTTCATGGTCCGAATTTTCCAGAGTTGATTAATTATTTGCTGAATTGAGAATCATCTCAGCGCACAACATCACACTCTCTGGACAGACTATTGCCCACCTGCAATCGGTGCTGCGTTCACCTTGCGCCGCACAGTGACAGCTCCCGCCGGGGGTTCTCCTTAGCTCAAGGACCATAAACCATCGCGTACAACCTGGTCATTCTCCCAGCAGCCGCTTTTGACTATGCCATGGAACAAAGACGGTCACTGCATTGTGCGCATTTAGATGCGCTTCTGTGGCTGTCTGGAACGCTCTTCCTTGCGATATTAGGAAGTTACTGGAGCTATGCACTTTTAAATCTAGATTGAAAACTCATTCTTTAGAACTGCTTTTGTGTTTAGTTTTTTGTCCTTCCCCCACACCTCTGATTAACACAGTTGGCTACGTACAGTGCGAAAGAAGCTCAACATACATACGTAGATGTACTGCATGGGAGGCGCAGTAGATATACATATATGGAGCGATAATGATGATAATAAATATTTAGCTGTTGCGGGTCTCGGCGTCACACGGGAACCATGGTGATGGTGGGAAGCTCTCCCACGGGGGCGGCACGATCTTCTCCTCTCGCATGAGACGCAGGAGGATGCCCTCCAAGTCCCGCGGCCAGCGGAAGCACAGCGTGCTCTGCAGCCACGACGGCACGTCGTCCTGTACGCCGCAACACAGAATCACAATCTTTGTTTATCTGAAGGAATCCGATTGAGCTATGAAGCTCTTTTTCACGGAGCGTCAAGTCAAGCCAGCATGATTTGATTAGCCAGGTGACGACATACGCGAGCAGGGCGAGTCTCGTTTCAGAGTGACACGGGTCAGAAAAATGTAAAACAAGTTAAATAAAGTACGGCAAAGAAGCAAATAGAAAACAGGGAAAAAAACAACGTCAACACGTGAGAAATAAAAAATACCGCACGAATATAAATCAATGTTAAGTAATAAATGCCATAATTTTCAAAGCAAGCCAAACGCGTAATAAAACAATGAAAGCACACCTGTTCACCGGCTGTGCGTGTGCAGGTTCTACTTTGGGCTAGAGCACTGACCTTGGAGGCTGGAGGCATGAGCACTGGGATGACTCGAAAGTTGAGGCATCCCTGCTGAATGAACTGGTTCTGAAGCTGTGGATTACACGATGATGACAAGAATGGTTATATTAGAACAGTTTGTACTCTCTCCATTCTTATAGCATACGTAGCCAACCTTGCTAATCGGAGGTGTGTGAACGGGCACGCACCTGTCTGAAGATGTAGCGTGTGTGCAGGCTGTGGTCGTCGGTGTCCAGACTTCCCACCGAGCCCTCCACGTCCCTCCGGTAGCCGGGACTCACGGCCACGATGATCATGTAGTCCTTCTGTGCAGACCCAGGCGAAGTATGCACACAAGCAGAACACAACTTGCGTTTGAGGAAGGTAAAATCTAAACTAAAACTATTTTTCTTTTATCAGGTAAGGACCACTGAGCTATATAGCTCTTTTTCAGAAGCAACCTGGCCACAAATGATATCTCAACGAAGTGGCTTACTACATGGAAATGTTATAACAGCCAAATACTCTCAACGCATGTTTATAAATGTGTAGAAAAAAACCGGAGGACCCGGAGAAAAATCCGCGAGACCACGAGTAGAACATGCAAACTCCATATATACAGCCGTCAGGGTCGGGATCAAACCTACGACCTAGGTCATGCCGCACGAGGAAGGTCACATCTCGCCACCGTGGCCAAATAGCAGGACACAAGCCAACGGCGAGCTGTCAGGGCAAAATGAATATTTGCTAACGGTGCTTTTTGATATGGTTTATATCTTAAACGTTTGGGAAACCGTTTGATCAATTTGGACAGTTTTCAATAGACTTGGTTCCAATTACATAAAGGCTTTCAACCTTATTTTGAAGGCATTCAAAATGGGATAACGTGCGTCAATGGGCCTGATGTTTCACTAAAATGCGAGCCCAGTAATAAGTATAATTTTGTGCATTTCATGGCCGTTGCTCTGGTACTTACGTCCAGGAGGAAGGTGTCCATGAACTTGATGACGTCAATGCCTCTCAGCTGGTCGGCAAAAAACATCCAGCTGTGAATGCAACGCACGACCAGGCGTGTGATTTGACGAATTTAATATTTAGCATATGTATGTGCTGCTCTCTGTGTGAGCATGCGGAGTTTTGTTTTACATTTTCTCTCACCTACCTTCGTTGCTGTCACGCTCATTTGCGTCCAGTATGTGATGTCTCCATGTGATAGAGCTGTGTGTGTGTGGTGTCTGGAAATTCCCTCATATCAGCACGTGCAGACCGGGTGGAACCAACCAGGCACGTGTTCAACATTTTTGTCACTCCACTATCGAATGAATGCTTTCCCCGCTGTGGGTCATCGAGGTTATTTGACCATACTTCACTGTACTGGTCAATGTGAATTGAAGGTGGGAGCACAAAAGTACACTTCAGCAATTGATTTTTCAGCACAAACCCTCTGCTACCTTCTTGTTCTTCTTCTTTTGTATGGGTGATGTAGATGCATGTCAACAACTACAATTTCAGGTGGTTAAGACAGATGACCATGTCAGGAGCAGCGTAGTGTATCGCTGCGATGTCTCCTTCTGCTGCCCACAGCCCGGAACAACCATGTGTATGGTGGTCAACCATCTTAGCGCTTATCCAGGAGTAGAGTGATATCAAACAGATTTGAATCTAAAATCTCATCAGTGCCACATTACAAGACATCTGAATGTGGCCCCGAGCCAAGCAGGGCCGGGGGCGGGACTAATGACTCATCATTGCGTGCAATGTTAGCGGCATGGCTTGAGGTCTGCAGTGGAAAAATTAAAACCTGGCACCTCCTGAGCTGCACCGGGCTGGCTCGGCATGGCCCCAGCGCAGATCGGTTGTGCAGTGAAAAAATATTTCAATGAATGGATTTGGTCTCATAATATCTAAAGATGGCTCTAGCCCAGTGTTCTTCCCTAATTTTCAGAGGGGAGACTATTTTGCCAATAGGACATCAGTGTGAGGGCCGCCACACATTTCAAACTAATGGGTTTTGACAGTACGATGGGGTGTTGTCAGATTTGTGTATTGTGAGGGGTCGCATGTCAGGGACCACACTAAAGGCCACCATGGGGCTGCCAATGTCCCGCAAAATTAAGAACACTGCTCTTGCCCATAATATCTAATTATCCAGAGGCATTCGTTTAGGAGGCCACACGATGGTGATGAGACACGCATGGAACCACGCTTCGTCTCGTTAGCGCAAACCCTACTTGGATATATTAATCTAGAAGGGCTACTGATCACACAGGCCGGAACCATTGGGCCGGAGGAGTCCAAGCGCCGGGATATACGAATAGAGGGGCAATTGGACACGTGGCCCCTATTTTTAGTGATAATGGTCATTGCAACTTGCAATGCGCCACACAGTATTCGCTCACTTTCGAAAAGAGAGATGACTCAGAGGCGCGAGAAACCACAGATGAGCGGGAAGGCAACAGCCAGACGGTGAGCCGGCACCAAATTTCTCCCTAAGCTCTGCGGTCCTCTATATATGAAGGTATTACTGGTAAATTAATGAGTGTTTAAGAATTAGAGGAAACCAGAGCACCTGGAAAAAAACCCATGCGTGCGAGGGGCAACACGCCATCCCATACAGATGGAGTCCACATTTTTTCTGTACTGCCTTCAATGCCCATAGGAAGGCAGTTTCACAACATCTGTGTGATCCACAAACCCTCACCTACCACTGAATATAACCCACGTACCCGCATGTGGGTTTGTTTCACTGGTATTGCTCCGTGAAAGCGTATGGTGGTCTATTATTAAAATGCACGTACCATGGTGTTGAAGCCATTGGCACAGAGGAACTTGGCGAGGTTTAGAACGTGGGGCGCGGCGTCCAGTGAGTAGGTGATGAACACTTTACCTGGAAGACAACAAGCAGACGTTTACATTTAGATGTTCAACAAAGCTAGAAACATTGTAAAACAAAAAAAAAACAGAATGCCGTGCCCGGTATAGCATAAAAACCAAGTTCCATGTAACCATGCCAATATTGGGTCAACATTGACATCAGGGTTGGAACCTGTTGGCCTAACATTGGCGCAAAGGGTTCCACGTGTATGGGGTTGTGATCTCAGGAAGGAGTGCACGGGAGGAAAGAGACAGAGCAGTGACAGATGGAGAGTTCATGATGGGTAAGATGATCGAATAACCAATGAGTCAAGAGGACCTCACCCTCCTTGAAGAGAACTCAATACATTGGTCAATATCACCGTAGTTTCAGCTAGCTCCCATCTCTACTAGGTCGGCCTACTCTTGTTGATAAGGGGCCACGTCTTGGCTAGTAGCGTCCAGATATAACTAACGCAGTCAGTTGGCAAAAGGTATTAACTACAGTCTGGACCAATTCCTGTGTGCGAACTTAGCGTGGCTGCGTTCGGCACTGTGCGGTACTACATTCTCACTTAGTGCGTACCGCGGACCTACTAGACCCAGTTATCTAGTCAAAACGATAGCAAACTCCTCGTGATCGACATTCAATCAGACGGTCGAAGATGATTTAGGCTCTAGATATCAGAACTTTACCTATGAACCGATTCTTACACACTTCAGTAGGTGTAGGAAGCCCCCTCGAATCAGCTTAGTCACCTGCGACGTTATGTATATTAGATCCACATCAGACGGGGTACGTTGCCTTCTCATAAGGTATTCCGCCTTTATTTACACACGCTCTATTCCAAAGCCCAGAATTGATACGCGGTATGGACATCGGCACCTTACGCTCTCAATAACTGCTATCATCTACCACTCTTGATAACGCCGAGAACCGCCGGTTTGGAACGCTGATATGCTCAAGCACAAGACGGCTATTGCTTATATTGCTCTCGGGACTGGAGGCGGAAGGTGTTCTTAGTAGGCGCGAAGCCCTACGGTTCGCCTTCCTGCATCCAAATCGGGACCTCACATTGCCTAACCGATCAGGTCTTCCTAGCATCGGTTCTGCGAGAGGTACGGATTTTCACAGATGTTCTACCGGTTTCGACTTGTCTCTGAGCCGGAGGCATGGTTCGACTGTGCGGGTGACCCTCCACGAAGTTGGGACCCGCTGTGCGACAAGATTACGGTCAGTCACAGTCCACGTCCTCGAGCCTCATCCCGATCTGAGCAAAACCAGGATGGCGGAATAACCCGTAAGATCATCATAATTAACACATCGGTTCAGCCATCTAATAGGCTCTAACCTTCGCCCAGCGGGGTGACCGGGTGAATATTGATTGAGTAGTTCAGTGTGCGTAGCTCCATACTCATTAAGGAACCTCACATGATAGTGAATAACCGCTACACGCTAGCTTTATCGAAGTAGCCTGTATGCTTACATTTCACCCCGCCGCCCCACCGAAGCCTGCCGATCATTCTGTAATTGTTGATACAGACAGACTATCTACTAGCGTGCCTTCGCTCACTGTTCCTTAACGGTTGAAACCGTATTTGCGCATTGGCAGCCTATTTGACACTAGTTAAATCGACTAATTCCATGTGGCTCCGCCTTTACTGGGGACCAAGTGGGCATCCCGGCGAACAGTTATGCTCCGCTTCCCGACCCTTTACAATGTACGGGGCTAAGGGGCTTGTATAAGCGTCAGACGCAACTAGGGAGTAGTATAGGCTAGTCTCGCCACCGGATGACTCGAAGTCTTTAAGCGCTAATAGCTCGTGCGGGGTAAAAATAATCAACAGCCTAAGGCAGCGTCTGGCTAGTCGCAGACAATTTCATACATATATTACGGCCGTCTTCGTACGGCTAAGCAAGCGTTACTTCTTTTAGTTAGATTACAGCTGCTTCCACTTCCTGGGTATTGATAAAAGTGTAATAAGGCTGGCATGCGCCGACTCACATCCTCCAAGGTTTACATAAGATATCCCGCGTCGAGTCAGGACCAGTGGATCACTTAGTATCTGCGTGGCTCATTTAGCGCTGATTTGAACAGGCCCATTGTCAATCGATGACAATTGCACGCCATACCTCGAAACTAAGGCAGTATAGACTCGCTTCATGAAGTCCTTACCTAAACTTAAGAGGCGGATGTTTTCTAGTTCTTCACTGATTTCTCCGCACGTGGCTGCTGCTCGCTTCCACCAATAAGTGAGAGACCTGATGTACTCTAGATATGTCACTTTCCAAGCTCTAGGACTAGCCGGAGCAGCAGCATAGAGGACAAACCCATTTGCAGTTCTCTGAATGTTCAATCCGATGCTTAGTGAGCAGTGCATAAGTCGATTTCTCATAAACGGCTCGGACGTAAAAGATCCTAATGGATGAGCTGAGATTCGGAACGTGAGGAGTAGGTAACAAACGTCAGAGAAGTGAAGCATACAAGAACTACCACTACTCCTGCGTTTTCCACCCACGACCTTAATACGCCCGATAAACAAGATCCATTCCCCCCTTCTTGCAATTAGGCGCCGTTTATCATCCTGCAGTGGGGCGTACGGGCGGCCCTACGAGACACTCGAGTGGTGCTCTCCCATGTTGTTAACGGGATTGTTGGCAGCATCCAAATATAGCTTTTTCTACACAAATTCTGTCGCCGAATCTGTATTACTCTCTAATACAGGGTGGGCCGCCTTTACCGCGTACGCGGACGAACTTAAACCTATAAACGCCAGCTTCGGTTATGGGGCTCTTCCTTCACCTTGGCAACCCTGCGGCGGTGCCATCCATACCGATACTGACATTCACCTAGAAAATCTGTTTAACTAAAGCTAGCAACAGCCACTCAGAGGGAAGATGGGGGTCAACTCCATGTATGGCAAGTCGGAACCGTAAATTGCTGGACAGAATTGGTGGGGCCGTACGACCGTGGTGGATCCTTGCGTGCCCTGACATTGCTTGATCTTTGCTTCACTAATCAGCGTCCCCCCAAATTGCACAATCAGAGCCTATCAAATGATCCACGATGGCTACAGACCGCAATGACTTATGACTTGGATTCTCCGGACCGGATCTCATCGAATTCGAGAATATGGTTAACGGCGGTCTTCCGTGTCTGGTGTGGTAGC